GCTCTTTCATGGGTTTGGCTGGATATTATCAGCGATTCGTCGAGTCATAATCGAAAGTGGCTGCTCCTTTGTCGAGACTTCAGTCCCCGAAGGTGCCCTTCGAGTTCGACGACGCAGCCCGTGACGCGTTCACTACGTTGAAGGCAGCAATGCAAGCCGCACCAACCCTCCGTATATATGACCCCACCCTTCCCACCCAAGTGACTATGGACGCTTTGGGATACGGTATTGGTGCGGTGTTGGAACAGTGTCACGAGGACGGTTGGCACCCGGTCGAGTACTTCTCCCAAAAGGTGCCTCTCATAAACACTCTCGATGACGCTAGGAAGAAAGAGCTACTCGCGTTCGTCACCATTCTCAAACGGTGGCGCCACTTTCTTATCGGCCGTCGGCGTTTTAAATGGAACACGGACAACAATCCGTTGACCTTTTACAAAACGCAGGATACGGTCACTAGCACGATTGGTCGATGGATGTATTACATCGACCAGTTCGACTTTGACCCGTGCCACATTCCCGGTCCGGCCAATCGAGCTGCGGACGCCCTCTCACGACGGCCCGACTTTTCTGCCATTGTGACCACGACATTCGACCTCGATGACGATCTGCAACCGCATTTCGTCAAAGGCTACAAGTCCGATCCGACTTACTCTACGCTTTACGCAGAGCTTTCATCGGATCACCCGCTGGCTAGCCACTATCGGATTTCCGACGGGTTCATTCTCCTTCACACGAGAGGAAAGGACTTGTTAGTTGTGTCCCAAGATCGCATCTTACGGACTCGTCTTCTGGGCGAATTCCACGACGCACGACTTTCGGCACACCTTGGCGTGAACCGCACATTAGCACGCCTCCGCCAGCGTTTTCACTGGCCCGACGTCCTTCATGACGTCAYGAGGTACATTGAGTCATGTGCAGTTTGCCACCGTAACAAGGGTCGATCTCAAGTCCCCTTCGGCGAACTGAAACCGTTGCCGATTCCTCGGGCACCACTCCTCTCCACTGCTATGGACGTGACAAGCCCGTTTCCCCGCGATCGCGACGGCCATGACGGTATTCTCACGGTCGTTGACCGTTTGAGCAAGTATGCTCGCTTCCTTCCTTGCAAGTATCATGTTGCGGGGCCTAAGCTCGCACGACTCTTGCACACCGGTTGGATTACCAACCAGGGTGTTCCGGAAGACATAGTGAGCGACCGAGATACTTGCTTCATGTCGGCCTTTTGGACTTCTCTCATGACTGAGTCCGGCACGACAATGAAGCCGAGCTCGGCTTGGCACCCGCAGACGGATGGCCAGACGGAGCGAGCGCACCAGACCGCTCAGATGATGTTGCGTACGCTCATCCGTCCCGACCAGAAAGATTGGGTTGACCGGCTTCCCGACATCGAGTTCGCCTATAACACTTCGGTGCACCCGGCGATCTGCGTCACACCATTCGAGTTACATCATGGTGGAGAGAAAGCACGGATCTTCGCTGATCTCCTTTTGCCACAGGCTGCCGACATAGACGTCCCTTGCTCTCCCGCTTCCGTTCGGAAGTACCGGGACTTGCTGATCAAAGCAAAATATGCAAAAGGCTCAGATCCGCATGCAGCAGCAGGCTAACCAACGTCGACTTCCATGTCCTTTCCGCGAGGGAGACCTTGTTTGGGTCCTCTCCGAG